AAAACTTTAATTCAAGATGGATTTTTCCATTTTTTTAATTTCCCAGAGTAACATTTCATATTCGCTTGTGTGTGCCACCTCTTCTGCTGATCACTTTCCAATTTATGTTTCTTTTGTTGTGGATACATTCATTAGCATTTACGTTCGAGCCAAGATACCAAAATTCTTCACACTATAACTTCAATTCATAGATTTCAAGACCAGAAGGGACTTCAGTGATCATCTAGTCTAACCTACTGTATAACAAAAGACAGAGAATTTTCCCCAAAATAATTCTTAGGGCAGACCTTTGTGAAAATCATCCAATCTTGATTGAAAAAACTGTCAGTGAGGGAGAATCCACAAACTGAAGTATGTTGCTCCAATGGTCAATTTACACCTTATTTCCAGTCTGGAAATGTCTAGCTTCAACTACAAGCCACTGGATTATGTTACACCTTTCTCTTCTACATCTAGAGCCCATTATTATATATTTGTTTCCCATGTAGGTACTTATGGACTGTAATCAAGTCACCCCTTAATCTGCTCTTTGTTAAACTAAATAGATGGAGCTCCTTGAGTCTATCTTTCTTGTGGCTCTTCTCTGAACACCTCTAATTTATCAACAGGTTTCAGAGTAACAGCCGTGTTAGTCTGTATTCGCAAAAAGAAAAGGAGTACTTGTGGCACCTTAGAGACTAACCAATTTATGAGCATAAGCTTTCGTGAGCTACAGCTCACTTCATCGGATGCATACTGTGGAAAGTATAGAAGATCTTTTTATACACACAAAGCATGAAAAAATGGGTGTTCACCACTACAGAAGGTTTTATTTATCAACATCCTTCTTGAGTTGTGGACGCTAGAACTTGACACACTCTTCCAGTAGCGATCACTTCCGTGCCAAATACAGAGGTAAAATAACCCCTCTACCACCTGAGATTCCTGTTTATGCAGCCCAGGATCACATTAGCCCTTCTGGCCACCATAGCCCCAAATTTCTGCCCATTTAAGCAAGAATAGTATCTGAATCTTTACAAAGTTAAACTGAGGAGTGAGAATTCTATCTCTATCAGACTCCATTAAATTGTACATCTTTAAGTTTACTGATGAAAATTTCTCTGCTCCTGTGTTATTTCACTCAAAGTAATATGCCTATTTTTAAGATAAGACTTAGTTTAAAAACTGGACTGCAGAAAAGCTTTGCCACCTCTGTGCTGCACAAGAGACAAAATGGAACACTTTAAATTAAGATGGGCACAATGTACTTGGGAATAGTTTTCTGGTTTGTTTGTTTTTTTTAAATGCATTGCTCCCTGTTTACAGTCCTCAAAGCAATCTTAATAAAAATCTCAATTTTAATAATTGCATTCACCCCTTTGTAACTATAGCAGCTACAGTGTTGCTGACACTTATTTGCAAAGTCTGGGGGAAATGAATATTTCATCTTCTATGAAGCGTGCAATCAAAATGTTTAACTTCATGCCTAAACCTAAGCGACACCCTTTAAGCGTTTTGCTTATTGGTTGGCCACAGCATCACCCTGGCCTGTATGTTATTATATCTTTAAGAATGCATTCCCTTCCACCTCACTACCAACTTCGAGGACATGGATATAATGATCCTGTCTCTGTCCCATAATGGGCAGCACTGACATGCTTTGAAGAGATTTTTTTCTACTTTGCCAGGAGAATGAAGCTGTGACCTGGAGCATGAGGTAAAAATGGAAGTAGGGGAATACATGCATATACATACACTCTCTCCCCCGTCCCCAGCAAGGCCATGGGTAAACAAAGTTAAAAAGCCAATACATATTAATTTCTTTGCCACAGGTAAACAGAAGGGTGTTCAAAACATTAGTTTCAGTTGCTTCTGGATTCCAGTTCACCAAGACTTTAGTAGTAGCACACCAACACACATTCTTTGTTGACGAGCTTACAAACAAGCGAGATTCTTTGAGTTTGTTACACCAAATAGAATACTTGGTCCTTTTCATTTGTCTAGTGGAGTAAGACTATTAATGCTGTCATTTTCAGTAACTGGGGAAAATCTGCCACAGGTCATCTAGTGCAGCTGACTACTTCTAGGGCTGTCAACATTCCATACTGCAAAAGCTATCACATGAAGTGTACCTCACTGTGCACACACTAACAGATTTCCACTTTGGCTGTTAAAAAGCATGTATAATTTTGCTGTCACTGTAGGAGCCTGCCTAACACGGGGAGCAAGAGGGTAATCTCATTCTCACAAGAAACAACTCACTCTGCACAAATGCTATTATCCTCATGGACTTTTCAGGTATTTGTGCACTGGTCAACTTGTTTTGAGCCTATTTCTAAAAGAGCCACAGACGCTCCAGATAAGACTCAATGTCACTATTTACATCGCCTATCCATGCAAATCCCTAGAGCAAAGATGAGGTCTCTTTCAAAGGGCACTTCTTCCCCCACAACCTTATCAACCGGAAAGAACCAATTCTTTACCGAGTGCTGGTCATTCACACATACACAGGCAACCTCCCTCATGAAGAAAAGGAGGACTTGTGGCACCTTAGAGACTAACCAATTTATTTGAGCATGAGCTTTCGTGAGCTACGATGAAGTGAGCTGTAGCTCACGAAAGCTTATGCTCAAATAAATTGGTTAGTCTCTAAGGTGCCACAAGTACTCCTTTTCTTTTTGCGAATACAGACTAGCACGGCTGCTACTCTGAAACCTCCCTCATGGCACTTGCTTAAATATCCCACAAATAAAGTCGAAATCTTACACACCTAACCCGGACTCCCCTTCATCTTTCCAGCGGTGAGTCTGCATTTTCCTTTCCAGCCCACTCCTTTTGTGGACATCCAGATGGAACAAGTAACCAAGGCCGATGTCCTCGCTATCTCCTCCTCCGGCCTGTTAGCTGGGGCATGATGAGGGGGGAGAGAATCGCCAGAAGAGGGGAGCTGCGGCTGATGTTCTGGGGGAGAGTAACCCCAGCCGGAGCCTCATCCCTGCCGCCGCCGCCCGGAATCTGGGGAGGGGTGTTGAGCCTCGGCCCCTGTTTATTCATTCGCCTTGTAGTCAGCAGGCAGCCCTTCCCCTCCGCCGGGCCCAGCGGCAGCCGCAGCAGGCATGTGGTGGGTGCCCCCCGGCGGCACCAATCCCTTCCGAGGCTCAGGCTCTGTTACTGGGGCGTTAATGCCTCCGGCAGCAAAGCTGCCATCGCCACATCACAGCTTGCGCCACAGAGAGCGCGTTATTCCGCAGCTCCCTGGAGCGCACTGACTAGGTACCGAGGGGAGACACTGAGGGAGGAAGAGGCGGACTCCATTTTTATCCTAGCAGCCTGTCAACAAGCTCCCCCCACTTTTCCCCTCCCCAGTCTCCAGAGCACAGCGAGACTTTCCAGCTCAGCGGCAAGCCAGCAACACATGAGGAGCAGCAGCCCGGCTCCTTCCACTGCTCCTCCTTCGTGCAGGCAGGGAAATCCCTCAACGTTTTCACTTCGCGCTGCAAACACGGTTTTGAAATTTTCCCTCTTCCACCCATCTCCCTAATCACCGTCTAGAAATGCAGCCCAGACACACTGGAGTTGCAACAGACTGGAGTTGCATTGCTATTTATAGTAGTGCCATCCACACCCTACATACATAGCAAACATCACCGCATTATGTGCAAATTTAATCTTTACGTTAGCAGGAGCCTCGAACATGCCTCCGTTTCCCCCCTTAAATCCACGAATTGCTGGTATGCCTTCCCCACCATTTGCAGCGACTTTCTCCCGTCCCAACAGCTCAGCAGCGACATACGATGCAGGGGGTTAACCCCTCAGCCGGCCATGGTAGAAAGTCCTTTCGTGTCTGGCGTCAAATGCTACTTTAAGGTTCTGCCTCCAAGTGCAAGTGACATGTGTTTTCTTACTAACGTCATAAATACTTACACCTGTCACCAGCCGAGCCACCATTTGCTACATCACAGAACCATGGCCCTAATGCTTATTGAACTAGGCCGGTCTCCACAATTTCCGATGAACATTTATTTCTGATTGTGTCCCAACTTTTGTAAGTGACTAGTATGCCGACTGAGGTTTGTTAGTTCACCATTAGTGACTGCGATATCACCCCTGTAATTTTCTTCCAATATCGGAGTGAACTGAAAAGCAGCATGGTCGTAGTCAAAGGTCATAACTTACTGTTGCGACAGTTGTTTATGGATAGTCCCCTCCTTATTATTCATGGGGACTGGAATAGAAGCTTTTTTTATATATACTATCATTCTTTAACAGTTAACTATGACAAAGGCTGTAATTCAGATTTCTTCCTGTGACACGCTCCACAGTAAGCTCTGCCATTTACACGGACGTATACCTTAATAATCGGGAGCACACAACTGTCTCCTTAAAAAGATACATCCGAATACTCTAGATTGCAGTCGTGTATAAAAATGGATACCGTAAAACGTATGCAATCCTCTACACACCAACGCATCTGTAGATCCCTTACACCCCTCCCCCTCGATACACGACTATAAATGCAAAAGATTCAGAGTGTTCCTTTCTTAGGGAGGGAAAGAAAAGCCTCCCCCCAGTAAGCTACCAGTTTGCATTTCTCACAAAGCCAGCTCCCAAGCAGCGAATCACTCCCACTCCCTCTTGGGGGGAGGAAAGAGAAAAGAGACTTTTCACCACCTCCTCCAAGCTGGTGCAAATCGTGGCCTCCCAGTCCGCCTCCCCCCATCAAAATCTCTCCTGTCCCAAGGAAACAAGTACACTCACCGGATCGGAAAAACGCCACGATGTCTGCAGAGTCTTTGGCCGCCTCCTCAGCCCCTTCCCCGGCGTTGCTGCTGCTGGTCGTGGAGGTGGTGGTAGTGGAGCTGCTCATGGCTGCTGCATGCAGTGGCGGCTCCTCCAGACAAGATCCCCCCACCACCACCACCCTGATCCACTCACTGCTCCCCCGCTGGTGCCTGGGAAGAGGAAGGTGTGTCTATGTTTTGTCTTCAGGTCCCGGCTTCACCTTCCAGCAGCAGCCAACGCGGAAATCCAGGCAACAGAGTAATGCACCGAGGTGGGGGTGGCTGCCAGTGGCAACAATAAATACAGGAACATGAAGGTATGCGTGCAATTGCAGCTCTACGGGAGTCCCCCCTTCACCCTCCAGCAGCCACCTAGGGGGCTGTGTGTGCACGCACAGATTCAATGCATGCGGGCAAGAGGCAGGGAGAGCAGAAGCAGAGACAATTGCAGGAGGAAGGGGGTGAGTGCATGGAGGGCGATTGCAATCAGTGCAGCAGGAAGCTGGTGGGAGGAGAAACCGGGGTGTTGCAGCCTCTTCAGGGATCAGGAGCAGCAGCTGCAATAGCAGCGGTGGTGTCCGCAGCAGCCACCATCCTCCATCTTGCTTTCAAGTGGGGTGGGCGGGGGAGAGGGGATCAGGGAAGAGAATCCCCGCCCAGGGCGCAAGAGAAAAGGGGGAGCGCGGAGGGGGAGCCTCGGCGATCTCCGCCTCGCTCCGGGCCTGCTCGGCACTGGGCGGCTCCCGCCGCTGAGGCGGCTTCTCATTGGCTGCCCGCGGGGGCGAGCGCCGGGCTGCCCGAGGCCGGGGATCCCCGCCTGCGAGGGGACGCCCGGTGCCCGGGGAGAGAAACCCCGCAGCGAGCCCGGGAGGGGCGCAGTCGCCCCCGGCTGTGTCCGTCCGACGGGGAGGGGCCCGCTTGCGCGCCCAGCCGCTGGCGCCGGAGCCGCAGCGCCCGCTGGGGGCAGGGCGGGGAGCCGGGCCCAGCCCCGCGGGGTGGCAGCTGCCGCTGGGGGCTGCGCGCGAGGCGGGCTCAGCCTCCACAGCCCAAAACTATTTTCCCCAGGCACCTATGGGGGAAGCGGGGCCAGCCTAGGGTGACGAAATGTCCCAATGGGACAGTCTCGATGTTTGGGTCTTCTTCTAAAATAGGCTCCTATTACCCCCCCATCCCGATTTTTGACACTTGCTGTCTGGTCACCCTAGGCCAGTCCCATCTCCGGCAGGGAGAGCCCAGCAGCTTCCTCCTGCTGTGGGAAATGTATGAGCAGAACAAGGGACGAGTCCTGAGCCCACACCCTCTCCCAGGGCGAAGGGCAGCGTTCATCACTTTTCGCCCCCCACCTGCACTGCGGGGAGAAGTAGGGTTACCACCTTCGAAAGGCACCTAGCCCCCCTCCACAAAGTAACTCTGCAACACCCACCCCCCAGTCACGTGTAGCATCTACATCCATAACACAAAAAGAAAAGGAGGACTTGTGGCACCTTAGAGACTAACCAATTTATTTGAGCATGAGCTTTCGTGAGCTACAGCTCACTTCATCGGATGCATACTGTGGAAAGTGTAGAAGATCTTTTTATACACACAAAGCATGAAAAAATACCTCCTCCCACCCCACTCTCCTGCTGGTAATAGGTTATCTAAAGTGATCACTCTCCTTACAATGTGTATGATAATCAAGTTGGGCCATTTCCAGCACAAATCCAGGTTTTCTCACCCTCCACCCCCCCACACACACAAACTCACTTTCCTGCTGGTAATAGCTTATCCAAAGTGACCACTCTCCTTAAAATGTGCATGATAATCAAGGTGGGCCATTTCCAGCACAAAGCCAGGTTTTCTCACCCCCCACCCTCATACACACACAAACTCACTCTCCTTCTGGTAATAGTTCATCCAAAGTGACCACTCTCCCTACAATGTGCATGATAATCAAGGTGGGCCATTTCCAGCACAAATCCAGGTTTTCTCACTTCCCACCCCACACACACACACAGACTCACTCTCCTGCTGGTAATAGCTCATCTAAACTGACCACTCTCCTTACAATGTGTATGATAATCAAGGTGGGCCATTTGCAGCATAAATCCAAGTTTAACCATAACGTTGGGGGGGGGGTAGGAAAAAACAAGGGGAAATAGGCTACCTTGCATAATGACTTAGCCGCTCCCAGTCTCTATTTAAGCCTAAATTAATAGTATCCAATTTGCAAATGAATTCCAATTCAGCAGTTTCTTGCTGGAGTTTGAAGTTTTTTTGTTTTAAGATAGCGACCTTCATGTCTGTAATTGCGTGACCAGAGAGATTGAAGTGTTCTCCGACTGGTTTATGAATGTTATAATTCTTGACATCTGATTTGTGTCCATTTATTCTTTTACATAGAGACTGTCCAGTTTGACCAATGTACATGGCAGAGGGGCATTGCTGGCACATGATGGCATATATCACATTGGTGGATGTGCAGGTGAACGAGCCTCTGATAGTGTGGCTGATGTTATTAGGCCCTGTGATGGTGTCCCCTGAATAGATATGTGGGCACAGTTGGCAACGGGCTTTGTTGCAAGGATAGGTTCCTGGGTTAGTGGTTCTGTTGTGTGGTATGTGGTTGTTGTTGAGTATTTGCTTCAGGTTGGGGGGCTGTCTGTAGGCAAGGACTGGCCTGTCTCCAAGATTTGTGAGAGTGTTGGGTCATCCTTCAGGATAGCTATTACCAGCAGGAGAGTGAGTTTGTGTGTGTGTGTTTTGGGGTGGGGGGGTGAGAAAACCTGGATTTGTGCTGGAAATGGCCCACCTTGATTTTCATACACATTGTAAGGAGAGTGGTCACTTTGGATAAGCTATTACCAGCAGGAGAGTGAGTTTGTGTGTGTGTTTTTTGGAAAAAAAGGGGGGGGGAGAAAACCTGGATTTGTGCTGGAAATGGCCCACCTTGATTATCATACGCATTGTAAAGAGAGTGGCCACTTTGGATGGGCTATTACCAGCAGGAGAGTGAGTTTGTGGGCGGGGGGGTGCGGAGGGTAAGAAAACCTGGATTTGTGCTGGAAATGGCCCAACTTGATTATCATACACATTGTAAGGAGAGTGATCACTTTAGATAAGCTATTACCAGCAGGAGAGTGGGGTGGGAGGAGGTATTGTTTCATGGTCTCTGTGTATATAATGTCTTCTGCAGTTTCCACTTATGCATCCGATGAAGTGAGCTGTAGCTCACGAAAGCTTATGCTCAAATAAATTGGTTAGTCTCTAAGGTGCCACAAGTACTCCTTTTCTTTTTGCGAATACAGACTAACACAGCAGTTACTCTGAAACCATCCATAACACACATAGATAAGACTGAGAACATCATTTTCTCCCCATTTTCTCAAAGCGGTTTGTGTTCTCCATCTCCGTTGAGATTTTATTGTTTCCCAAACTGCATTGATTCTATATTTTAATTGTATACGTGAATGTTTTAGAACTTTATAAATGAAGACAATCAAGTGAGTTTATTTCTTGAATTAGTATTTCTCATCTGATTGTGCCATTTCCAGCCATTTATTTTTAACAGCAACATTGTAGAATTCCAGACAGGAATAGCTAAGATTGCATCTAATGCAAAGCTCACTTTTGACCACTTCAACACCTAGGCAATTCCAGTCTAATCAGTTTGGAGGTTTCCCATCAAACTGAAAATTCGCCCCATGAATGCCTTATTGCATGGAACAGCAAACACATGCTGAACAATTTTCAAGACATTTGGAGCTTCCACCATCCTGAAAAATGCGTACCACTTATCAGCAGGTCCAGCAAGACTGTCATCTTCCATTAGAGCCAGGACACCAGTACTTAAGACACAGAACTCCCTGTAGAAATCATTCCCATCTACAACAGTAGCAGCACTCAATTTCAAAAGATCTTGCAGCTTCATTAAGTCATGAAATGCTGGCACTTCCTTGAAGTTTAGGCAGGAAAATGACTTAAGTGGAGAGTCTTTGAAAGAAAACCATTTCTCCAGATAAGCTACTGCTCAATTGTACATAGTCTTTGCTTCATTTCTGAACTTTTCCTGGGCTTCCCTTGGCAAGTGTGGCAAAGCTCTGTTCACCTGATAACCGAAAAACTCGTCCTTTGCTCTGTCAATCAGCTGGCATCTGACATCAGATCAAAAAGTTCTGTGGCATTCGTAGAATCCTTTTCAAGAATGGAAATTGACTTCTGAAAGATGGCCATGACAGAATGCAAACAAAGTAAATGTAGTACTTGGGAAGCATCAACTTGTCATTTAACTCATGCTTCTGATCGCCAATGAATCTCCAGATCAGCCTGTCACAGTCCAATTCCTCAAGATCCGAGTAGTACACCTTCATAGCTTCCCAATTCTACATAGGAGGAATTCTGGCGGAATACCATCAGGGTCTGCAGCCTTCCCTTTTTTCATAACGCCAAGTCCTTCTTTCACTTCCTCAATGTTGACACTGGAAGGTTCTCCTCTGGGGATTGATGCAAGTGTCTGGTAGAATTGTTGATACACTCCTCTACCATCTTGGCCCCAAAGGATTCCAGTGGTTAGCAACATTGTACTCTGCTACCTTCAGGACAGTATGGATCCCTGAAATCTGGTGTGAGGCAATGGTAATTTGTTGACATGTCATCTGCATATGACACTGTATAGATGAAGGGCCTGATGCTGAAATTTGCAAAAATTATACCTTGCTACCAAACACTTTGCCTGCTGTGGACCGTGCTAGCAGACACCTGTGGGTGTACCTAAGTAATAAGACCAGCTCACCCTGTACCATAAACGGGCTACTACAAGACTCTGTACTCACACCAACCCTTTTAAATATTTACATGAGTGGCATGCCTCTAACTAAATCATGCAAATTTGCATATGCAGATGATCTTGCCATGCCAATCCAAACACCAAACCTGCATGATATTGAGAAAGCATTAACTGAGGGAGTCTGAGCTATAGAACAATACTTCTGGAAATGGAGGCTCAAACCAAACCTTGGAAAAAATAATAGTAAGTGCATTTCATCTTGATAATAGGAGTGCCAAAAGCACACTGAAAGTAGCTTTGAGTGGTAAAAATATGCAACATGATTACATCCCAACGTACCTCAGAGTGAAACTCGACCACATCCTCACCTTCCTCAATCACCTTGAGAAGGTAACTACAAAGATAAAAACGAGACCCAACATAATCCAGAAATTAACAAGTACAACCTGGGGTGCATTGGCATTACTGTTGTGAACATCTGCAATAGCACTTTTATATTCGGTAGCTGAATATTGTGCACAGGTATGGATCAGATGCAGCCACATGTGACTTGTTGACACCCAACTGAATACAGTGATGCGGTGCATCACTGGAACCCTTACTTTGACTCCAGCACCATGGCTACCTGTTCTCTCTAACATTGTTCCCCTGCGATGTTAGGACAGGATATGCTGAACTGCTGTAGCACTCTGCGAAGCTCAGTGAATCCAGGAAATGGATGTCTTCCTATCCACCAAGACCTTGACAATGCCCCACCCCCCAACACCTTATGTCCCACAAGCCTTTCTGGGAACATTCGCTTAGCCTCATGCAATCAGGCTGTGATCAGAAGGAGACTTGGAAAGCAGATTGGACTAAACAAGACTTAAAAAATAAGCACCTTGTGCCAGATCCCATGCAGAAGGTGCCTGGGTTCAACCTTCCACGGTCTTCTTGGTCTACTCTGAACTAACCATGGTAGATGCGGACATCTAATGCACAAATCGAAAATCAAGGACTCCCCAGTGTGCGAGTGTGGCTCTCCACGACAGACTATGGAACATATCACCACCTACTGCCCAATGTATAAATAGGAAGTAGGCATTACTGCAATAAATTCTGCCACTCCTGATGTAGCCATTTGACTCAGTTAACTTCAAGCGAAACTGTAGTTGCTGCTCTCCACCAGCCATATGAAAGAAGAAAAAGAAGTTTAACCGAAGCCTTTCAGTTGTAGTGAAGAGGGTTAACCAGCGAATGGGCACATGCAAAAGTACTTTCTGATACTCTTCCTCCACAGATTCAAAGCAGAATTTGAGATGTTCTGCTTTTTTTGCACTACATGAAAACTCATTGAAAATCTTCAAAACCAAACCTTCCATATCAAAGCTGAGGGCTTTCATGTGGTTTTTTGCTGCATTGTTTAAAACATAACAGTTGCAGTTAGCTTGGATCTTCAGTGGTTGAACAGCTTTGAGTTCAGCAAACACAGAACAGTTCTTACCATAATTCACAGATGCGTTATTGGCTCCACAAGCACTGACATTTTTCAGGTCCAACCCAAGCTCATTTATGGCATTCATTATACCTCCTGAAATCAACTCTGATGTCTCATCTAGTTCTTCATAAAAATCCAAAAGGATGTTGTTTATGCCTCTTCCAATATTAAAAAAACACCAAGTAACCAAAGGAAAAAAATTCTGGCTTCCTTCATATGATGCGTAAGTAGCAACTGCAAAGGGAGAACCTTTCTTTTAGCTTTTTTTACTCCTGTTTCCAAAGAAAACACATTCTCAGCTAGACTTTTGATTTTTGTTCCTTTCAGCTTCATTTGATTTACCACAGCAGAAGCAGTGTGTACCTATTTAACTGCCACAGTCATTGACAAAAAACTGCAGTCATGCTTCACTTCACGAAAGACATAGGCCAATTCACTTGCAGCCACAGCGTCATCTTTAACTGTGTTTCCCCATGGGAAAAATGTTGATATGCTCGAGGGCTGGTGCATAGAAGCCAACTTTGTAGGTTCTCCAGGGCTGGCGCACCGATGGGGAAAAAATGGTGAGTGCTGCAGCCCCCCTATCAGCTCCTCCCTCCTGCAGCGCCTCCAGCCCACCAGTGGGCCCCATGGATCAGCATCTCCCACTCCCTCCCTATGCCTCCCACCCGCAGCAATCAGCTGTTTCACAGCGTGCTGGAGGCTCGGGGAGCAAGGACATGGTACACTTGGGGGAGGGGGTGGAACTGGGCGGGAAGATGTGGGGTGGGAGTGGGAAGAGACGGGATGGGGCCTTGGGGAAAGGGGTGGGGTGGGGGCAGAGCCGGGGGTCGAGCGCACCCCAGCAGTTTGGAAAGTCAGCACCTGTGTATGCATGCATTCTGTTTTGCACTCTGAACAACTGTTGGGTGTTTTTTTCCAGTTGAATATTTCCAAACAGCATCAATTCCATCAAATTTCAGTGTAAAGACACCTTGACACATTGTACAATGGGCATTTGTTTTATCAGCACATTTTGCCAGCCAGTCTTTGTAGTCTGTTTCATTTAGCCAGTTGTCACTGGATGTGCAGTTTCTGATGCAAGCTTTTTTTCCCAGGGGGTGTCGAGGGATCACTTGCACCATCACCCTGATCTTCCCTTCATAGGTGCTGACTCTGTGGGTGCTCCAGGGCTGGAGCACCAACAGGAAAAATGGGGGGTGCTCAGCGACCACCGGCAGCTAGCTCCCCGCTCTTCTCCCCCAGCGCCTCCCACCCATGGCGGCCCTGATGATCAGCACCTCCCCATCCCTCCCAGCGCCTTCCACCCGCCGCGATCAGCTGTTCCATGGCATGCAGAAGGTAATGGCGGGGAGGAGCGAGGGCCCGGCCTCCTTGGTGGAGGGGGCGGAACAGGGCGGGAAGAGGCAGGAGTGGGGGCAGAGCCCGGGGCAAAGCCAGGGTGTCGAGCCCCCACTTCCCCAGCACATTAGAAAGTCGGCACCTCTGCTTTCATTATTTAATATGCTTTGCACGGTTCTTCAGTCTTGTGTGACTCAAACCTTCTCTCACACACATGCACTGTGTGCTTGCTTGTTGATGGGCAGACAGCTGCTGTATTTTCAAAAGTTTTGATCTGTTATCACTTAAACTGCGGAAGTGGAAATACTGCAGCATCTTTAGCTGGACAGAGAAACCTTTAACATTAGATATCCCAGTGTACTGTGATGATAATGCAAATCTTTATACCCATGTAAAAAAACCCAGCAGATTAAATTATTTTTTTGGCAATTGGCAAATCCGTTAAAAAAAACCCGGCCAGCCTGGTCAAATACTGGCCAGGTGGTAACCTTAGGGAGAAGGGGCAAGTCAGAGACTGCCTAGGGAGTGGAAACCAGCTGGGCTGGCTGCAGAGCTGCATGGAGAGTTTCTTACACACACAAATGCCAAGGATTCCTATGGGTCACAAACCCAAGACCTTTTTGAGTTTTTCCATGAAGAAACATGGGACATACACACACCATAGCCCCGTAGGTGGGCACTCACCTGTGATGTAGAGACCTAGGTTCAAATCAGGGCTTTGAGTCCAGCAGAGCAAGAACTGGAACCTAAGGCTCCTAGGTCAGTGCCCTAACCACTGGACTATCCAGGGGGCCAGTCACTCTTCCCCCTGCTCCCAGTAATTTATCCAAACTCATATTTCCACCAAACAGTTAAGTTTTTGGAGACAATGGCATATTTCAACAGCAAAAAGATTCAAACATTGGTGTGATGTTGCACTCCATATGTTTTTTGGAAATACATATATAAGTGTAAATATAATGTAACTGGAATATGCTTTATGCAAAAGGTCTCTTGTAAGACATCATTACAAAGCCTATAATCTACTGAGTGTGTTCATCCTATTTGTATTAATGTATCATTCTTGTATCTGAAGCTAGAAATATTAACAGGTTTCAGAGTAGCAGCCGTGTTAGTCTGTATTGGCAAAAAGAACAGGAGTACTTGTGGCACCTTAGAGACTAACCAATTTATTTGAGCATAAGCTTTCGTGAGCTACAGCTCACTTCATCGGATGCATTCAGTGGAAAATACAGTGAGGAGATTTATATACACACAGAACGTGAAAAAATGGGTGTTTATCACTACAAAAGGTTTTCTTCCCTCCCCCACACTCCTGCTGGTAATAGCTCATCTTAAGTGATCACTCTCCTTACAGTGTGCATGATAAACACCCATTTTTTCATGTTCTGTGTGCATATAAATCTCCTCACTGTATTTTCCACTGAATGCATCCGATGAAGTGAGCTGTAGCTCACGAAAGCTTATGCTCAAATAAATCGGTTAGTCTCTAAGGTGCCACAAGTACTCCTTTTCTTTTTAGAAATATTAAGTTTTACTCTATGAAGTCCTATTGTAATTATGCAAAGTGTGGGCCATTAATGGTGGCCTGGAATCTTGATGGCTCCCCTTAACTAGGACAATTGGTTGTAAATGGCTCTGTTTACTTGTAAGCCTTTATGTATATGTGGGTGCCAGCCAGTGAGTAATGAAGTCTCACAGGACATGTGAACATGTCACATGATACTGGAATCCATCTTAAACCTGGTGTTTTTCCATTTAGAAGGAAGGGTGGGAACCCACAGAGAGACAAAGAAAAGGAGTACTTGTGGCACCTTAGAGACTAACAAAATTATTAGAGCATAAGCTTTCGTGAGCTACAGCTCACTTTCCCCCACCCCCTGCCCTGGGCCCGGGAGGAGCTCACTCTTCCCTCCGCTCCAGCAGGAGCTTGCTCAGTTTCCTGCCTCCGCAGCCCCGGGGCCAGAGATGATCTCTTCCCCGAATGAGTATTGGGGGGGCCATGCCCCTGCTTGCTCCCTCTTGGGCACACCCCTGTTTGGGAGTAAACTCAGCATGCTCTATGTCTGGTCAAGCTAACTGAGACAAGCTTCAGTTGGCCTGAAGCCTGACCAAGAAGTGCACTGGACTGCCTGAAGGCCACTGAAGATTTATGAAAACATTCAAAACTAGTGGGAATTGAAAGGTATGGTTGACAAAGGGGAACAAATATATGTGAAATGTGAGAGAAGTTGCATTCCCCCATAACACAAGCAGATTAGTTTAATAATGCATGAAATGTAGGTCTTCATGGTTGTCTTTCTATCAAAGCCAACTGGAAGCTTATGGTAGCAAATACAACTAGGATTTTCCTGCTCCAAAAGCCTAGGCCCTTAGTCACTTAAACTGAAATATCTCTGTTACACTCCATATTCTTTATGGAAATATGCTTCTGATATGGATATGACATAACTGAGATGTACTTTACGCAAGATGGCTCATGTAGGATATCATTGGAAAGGTTACAGACTAACAAATTTATTTGAGCATAAACTTTCGTGAGCTACAGCTCACTTCATCGGATGAAGTGAGCTGTAGCTCACGAAAGTTTATGCTCAAATAAATTTGTTAGTCTCTAAGGTGCCACAAGTACTCCTTTTTCTTTTTGCGGATACAGACTAACATGGCTGCTACTCTGAAACCTGTCATTGGAAAGGTTATGATTTACTGAATGTGATTATCCAATTTGTATGCCTGTATCATTTCTGTAACTAAAGTTAGGAATATGGACTATATAACTGTGACACGTGGCCAGAAAGGGTTAAACATCCTGCAAAATAAATAACCCTCAAAAGACAGTGGGAAGATAATGTTTGTGTATGTATATATGTATGATGAGGGTCAACAATGTAATCAACAGTCCCTGTGGTTGCTGTATACTTGATAGTTCAGAGATCAAAAGAACATCGTAACATTTAAATGAATTGTAAACACAGGATATCTTGGTATTCATCTCTCTTTGAAATATACTGTGAATGGTGGAGGAATAAGCAAATGGCCTTAGGTTAATTCGTATAGCTAAGTACCAATGATGGACCTCCTTCAAAGTAATCCTAATTACCTATTCTTCCCTGAGGAAATCCCAACTTGTCAAAGTGTTGCTTGGCTAGAAGTTGCAATGTTAAAGGTATGCCACATATGGTAATGGCTCGACCCAACTCAATATCTATCACCTGTAAGGACCTCCCACCTCCAAATCACTGGAAGGATGTCTGATACATGTGGAAATGAAACTGAAGAAAGATTTTTTAAATGAAAGATAGTACAACAAATAACTCAGTGGTTGATCTTGGAACTGTGGGCATTGAGCCCAGACCCAATTATGGGTGACTAACAACGGTGTTACTGATGACTGGTTTCAGGATGGCCGGAGACCAGTCGAGATATTCATCTCTTTACCCACATCTATCATCGGGGTTTAAGGTCACCCGAGATAAAAGCCAACAAGGGAGTGCAGGAGTAAAGCTCAGGTATGTTCATTAGAAAACAAGATAAGTAAGCAGGGTATGCTATAAAGGACTCCCAACACAGGTAATAAGGTAAACAGGTAAAGGTGACACTATAACTGTACTGACTGTGACCAAAAAGGGTTTACTCCCTTCCCAAGACAGGTCCCAGGTAAGGGGTATGGAGGACTTAAAAGGTCTCTACCATTTCTTGCAGCTTGTGTCTGGAGCCTCCTGACTTCACAACGCAGATCGGGTCTGGAACCGATCAGGTAACTCAGCAGGGTGAGAAGTGGACCTCAGGCAACAGGTAGGTGGTAACTCTGATTGATGCTGGTGATTCTTCTTTCTCCTCCTCATGCGTTGTCATGGGTGCAAGTAAGATCCAGATGAGAGGGTGGCAGCTAGCAGCTCACCCTTGCGTGCAAGTGTGTTAAAGCCTCCCACAACCCTAAGACACAGTGTCCTGGCTTACGCACCTGCGTAGAACACACTGCTGTGATCCAGCACTCTGCCACTCAGATGGGCATCCCCTTCCCTCAAACATGCTAACCCTTATATGCCCTGCTGTTACTGGGCAAATCACATGTCACATGGTTGCCCGGTTGCCCGCCTTTCGGTAGAAAGGGCAGGAAACTATACCTAAGGAGGGGAAAGAAAGGCAGCCAAGTTGGATTCCTAGTCGTTGTCAGGAATTCAAGATGGCGTGTGGGTATTAACAACCGGAACAGAAATACAGAAATTCTCCTCCTACATTACTATACTTGCAGATGGACCTCCGGACACGGACAGGCTATGTGACTGAAAACATTGTTTCCTGGACTGCCTACTACTTAGATAACGGTTGGCAAGAGGAACACGGAATCTGGATGAACCACGGCTATGGAGCACCTTGACTGGAGATCAGGTAAGCTGTTTTGATGGTACGTTGCCTCTCAAAGTGCACATCTCACGGACTGCCGCTCAGAAGGACAGCACCACTTCAGGTGTGTTCTCCCCTTATATAGTCTCTCTCTCAGCCATACCCTGTTGTGACATTGCACCCCATAATGCATTCTAGAAATATGCTTATAAATGTAAATATGACATAAATGGAATACGTTTTATGCTACATATGCTCTGTAACATATCTTTGCAAAGGTTGTGTTCTTCTGCATGTATTCAACCTATTCGTATGCATGTATCATTTTCATATCTGAAGTTATGAGGGTTGGCTATATGCTTGTATTGAAAGTGTTTGCTGTAGGAAGCACCTAAGGCAAACCTGGTCAACATAATGTGAAGGGGTTATTCAAGTAATTGGGAGTACTTGGCTAACAATGATAGACGCCAATCCACATCTGAGCTTTCCTGGGAACATTCAAACTAGCATGTGGACAATGGCATGGGCCTGTAAAGAACTGAGTCATGCATGGACATGTGACTTGCCCATGTGACTCCAAAACTCCATCTAGTAGCTGTAATTCTACACAGTGGGAGAGAGGAGTTTCTACCCACCAGAGAGAAACTGTATAAGCCTCTGGGAAACCCTTCCATTTTGTCTTCAGCTGGCTCAAAAGATAGCCTCTCCACCCCAAAGTATGCCTGAAAGAAACTGGAACAAAGGACAGTAAATAGGGTGTGAGTGATGGCTGGACCCAGACTAGAAGGAGGCTAGTCTGTCAAAGAAGCTTATTTGGAACATCTCTGAGGGTGAGATTTACCTGCATTTAGTTTCCTACTGTATTAGGCTTAGACTTACGTGTTTTATTTTATTTTGTCTGGTAATTTACTTGTTCTCTCCATTATTACTTGGAACCACTTAAATCCTACTTTTTGTAGTTAATAAAATTACTTTTTACTTATTAATTAACCCAGAGTAAGTATTAATACCTGAGGGGGAGGGCAAACAGCTGTGCATATCTCTCTATAAGTATTATAGAGGGTGAACAATTTATGAGTTTACCCTGTACAGGCTTTATACAGGGTAAAATGGATTTATTTGGGGTTTGGATACCATTGGGACTTGGGGATCTGAGTGCTGGAGACAGGAGTACTTCGTAAGCTGTTTTCAGTTAAGCCTGCAGTTTGTGGGGGACGTGGTTCAGACTTGGATCTGTGTTTGCAGCAGGCATGGGTGTCTGGCTCAAACAAGGCAAGGTACTGAAGTCCCAAGATGGCAGGAAAAATGGGCTCAGAGGTAGTCTAGGCATATCAGGTGGCAGTCCCAAAGGGGTTTCTGTGATCCAACCCATCACACACGTGACCTAGACCCAGGGGTCTTCCCACTCTTTTACACCAAATGACATAAAACACCTTACATTTCCCCTCCTTGACAGTAAAGTGATATACATAGAAGTTTAACCATCACATTCCATAGACATTACTTAACTTAAAAGATGATACAGGCACAGAAGCTATAGATAACAGCTGTTTTTCTTTTGATCGACACGGTAAGGCAGATCAAGTACACAATGATTACAAATTGGATGATTAGGACCACAATAATAGGATGAAACATAATATTCCATACATCATTACAATTTTTCAATCCCCCAAATAGATTCTCCCACCACTGACTAGAAGCGGTCTCATCTTTGATTCGCTTTAACACCTGCCTAATCTGATTAAAGGCAGATGCACTGTCAGCAATACCTCTTTCCCTTCCTTCTCAATTTGCTTTAAGTGGGCCTTCATTTCTGGGTGGAATATAAATTGGTTTAGGGCTGCTATATTTGCTCCAAGGTGAACTGGATCTAAAGTATACTGATATAATATATATGACTGGATATAAAGTATACTATACATCTATAGTCTCGGTGGTGATGTCATGTCAGACAAAGTCTATATAACAACCCTTGATGGAAAATATGGAGCCCAGACAAAGGTTGATGGAGGGGTCGTGTGTAATTCTATGATAACTATTTACAGTAACTCACTGCACCAACTGCTTAAACATAAACAATGGTCATTCATGAGCACGATGGAGGAGTGACTAAAATCTGAAGAGTGCATTTTATAATGACACATTCCTTTTTGAGCATTTAAATATACATGGGATCCTTCCAAAACTTCAGTGTTACAAATGTAGCCTAGGCCCTTTTCTTCTAAGCAAGACTGGAGGTTCACAGTGTGGTATTCCTCACCCTTCCGATGGACCCATTTGCTGATAGCCATAGGAATAAGTACAGTTTGTCCCACATTTAAGCCTATGGGCACTAAAGGGTAAACGCATTCCTTCTTTGCTGCTTTTAAGGTCAGCACATAAGCAATTATTGAATGGTTGCGGTGGAGGTAAGTGAAGTTAATTAACTTCCATCACCCCTGGTGTTCTTGCTCAAAGGGAGTGAGATGGTTCCACAAAACATGCCTTATCTCTACTGGAATAAGCCCATTCAGGCAGTCCCTCACAATAGATTTAGCCACATCTAGAATCCATTGCTGAGCTTGCACACATGCTAAAGTGAGGGAGATGTTAGACTGAAGAATGTTTAAGGCCCCTATGATGTTGACGTGATCTGTCTCCTGAATTTGCATCCAGGAAGGTAAGGTATTGGCTATATGATACTCAAGCTCACTACTCCTATTTAATGAGGTAGTAAGAGAGTGTGATAAAGAGGCTATATCATAGCCCAAAGCTCCTATTTATTGGCTAGGATCTGATCATCTATCGTATTTAACATGCCTAGTCCAGTTCTGACCCCTCCTAATATTTAGATAAGGTATCCCTAGGTTTCCTTATGAGAGAGTTGGATGATGGAACCACTCCTTGCACCCAAGCACTCCATCCTGCAATTAGAGGTGCAGTGTATGCAAAACATCCTTGGTTAACATTGTGTATGGAAATTTGTACAGGCATTACTGTATTAACCTTTTGATGGAATATACTGGATTTATCATCAGTACTTTTCTAACATTCTGTTTGACCACCATCAGTCCAACAGAACTTGTATATGATCTAGGTACCACAGATATCTTTACCTTGACCTTAGTTCCATACAGACTTGTGATAACCTAGTCACCTGTCTCATTTGATAACATTGTAACACGAGCTTTCCCAATACATACAACAGGGAAACTGTTTACAAAACCCATTCATGATACTGGCATTATAATTACTAACATGGTTCTATACAATGGCTGCATTTCAGAGTTGCTAGATAATGACCTGATGGCAAATACAAATGGGCATTTATAAAGGTTTGATTAACATTACGGATGCCTATTTAAACCATTACACTTAAATCCCCAGGATTTACCTGTAGAGGGAGGTCACTTAGGACGGACAGACACTTGGACAGCTCCCAAACCTCAATAAACCTAGAACATCTCTGTAGGAAAGTGTCATAGAAGAGCCATGAACAATTGCCCCCTTGTTTCCTTATAGATTTAATTTGTGCATCCTTATCTAATATGAGCTCATGCTTCCATTCGTCATCCGCTGTGAAGGCCATTAATGAAGAGTTTGTTACCCCTTTTTTCTGCCCATACAAGATAACAATAGCCAGTATCCTCATAGGCACATACAGATATAATCCCTTTCAAGACCGAGCTCAACAGAGCTTTATTCATCAGTATACTTCTGTCCTTGGGATTATATACCGCGTCTTCATCATAATCATCAGTTTAATTATACATGGATTCTAGCAACTCATAATTATATTCATAAACCCCTACAGGTGTATCCCATCTCTCAGCCATCCTATTGTTCACTTTACAATACAAGTGTTCATTCTTATTTACAATAAGAGAGTCCATAAATCTAACAAACAACAATATTAACACATTTAACATTTTCCAATCCAGGTGGTTGCACGAATTTCCTGGAATAGACAGACCAGAGATTTAGGGGCCCACACCACCCTTCCATTCCTTTAGTTGGGACGAATGGAACCATTTAAAAACCCATCTCTTGCCAGATTTTAACTCGACCTGATACGTTGTTGGACTGGCCTTTTTGGTTATAACTACGAGGCCTACCCAGCGGGGACTCAGAGGGTGATGTTTTTCTGAGTAGAATTAAAATAAAACTTTATCTCCAACATGCTATACATGAAATTTTAGGTTGGCATTCAGTCTTTTGTCCATTTGACATATCTTCCGCTTTAACTGGGTAGTTACCTCCTTCTGAGCATCACTAATTTTAGCCAACAGCTGGGTTATGTACTGGTCTATTTGTACCCGGAGCTGATAGTTATCAGGTGGTACCCCCCCTAGCCACCACAACTCAGGAGTCCTCATTGGCCGACCTGTAAAGGTCTCATGGAATGTAAATCCGTGTGCTCCAATTGAGGACCTGATGGCCATTAGGACAAAGGGTAGCTTTTTATCTCCATTCTTTCCTGCGAGCTCTATGATCTTCCTTAATACTCTTTTAATTTTCCTATTAGCCCACTCAATGAGCCCCGAGCTCTGGGGATGTCCGGCGTTGTGGAGACGCTGTTTGCTGTTAAGTGCAAGGCAAATGTTCTTAACCAGGTCACACACTAAGTGGGGTCCCTGGTCAGAGTCGACGACCTCTGGAAGGCCATACCGGGAAAATGTTTGCTCCAGAAGCAGGTGTGCGGTGGTGGCTGCAGTATTATTTTTGGAAGGGTAGGTCTCCACTCACTTTGAAAATGGGTCCACTACCACAAGGCAGTCGCAGTTTCACTGCCCTGTGTGTGGTAGTGGGCCAATGTAGTCCACCTGGATCCAATACCAGGGACAATCAGTGGGCTGGTGGATGACAGGTTCCTTCCTAACAGGATGGTCTGGGTTGTTCTGCGCACATGCCAAACAATTCCAGATATGATACTCTACATCCCTTGTGATGTCTGGCCACCACCCAACAGTGAGGAGCCTTTTTACTGTCTTCTTGATGCCAAAATGACCTTGTTGGTGCATTAAAGTTATAAGTTCCTTATGTAGACAGCCCAGAACTACCAA